CTTTTAACTTTTTTATTATTAATTTAACATACATAAACCTAATAATTTTTCCAATATTTTAATTTTTCTAAAACAATACAAGTGTTTACATTTGCAAGAATATTACCATAGCGCCATTATTTTTAAAAGTAAGATCACTCAGATTTGATATTAGCGTTATTCGAAATTTTGAATTGGGAGCTACTAGGTGGCCAAAATAAATTAATATATATTTGGATCATTTTAAATTGAAAAAATACTTTGTTGGCAGTAATACTTTACAAAGCTATTAAATGTATATCAACTAAACAATCTCCTCAGTTTTTAATGGCACAGTTTGATACTAGTGGTAGGATCGAATATGGAAAACGGAAAGTGGTAAACCGGAATGCTACCAAAGAGGAAAAAGAATTGGAAATTTCACTTCAAGTTCAAGATAATCCCCATGTCAATAGCCGTCAAGTAGCTAGCTTATGTTATACATCGCAATTTAACGTCAATATCACTACTAGAAAACACAAATATCATCCCTATTGTAAACTTCGGCACCATTATAAATGAAGCAATAGAGGCCGATCTAAATTTTTTGTCTAAAATAATGTTTTCTGATAAAGCTACTTTTCGCAGTATAACATGTGTTATTATTCAACAGTTAATCTATTCTGGGTACAGGAAGTGCAAAATCAAAACCATTAAATGTGTGGTGTTGAATAAAGCCTTTTTAAATTATTGTATAATATTTTTTATGATAACCACTTATTGGGCCTAGAAAATTGAACTTTTGGCAGATTGATTTACCCCGACTTTTTCATGAAGTTGATAACAATAAGATCCAACAAATCGCGTTTCAGCAAGATGGAGCTCCTCCGCATTACCATTAGCATTACCATAGAGAAGTTCGAAAAATTTTTTATACAGAAATGGATCGGTAGAGCGTGAAGTAGCTAAGGAACCTACAAGAAAATATGATAAAACATTTTTATCCAAGTGCAAGGGCATATTTTTGAACATTTATTGAGCCATAACTTTTAAAATAACTTTTAACATAACTTTTAAAATTAATCAGATATTGAACTATACTATACCGTCGACTCACCTTGTACACTTAAGAATGCTTTAAAAATTACTCTGGGAAAATATTTTAAATAAATTAAAATTTTTCGATTTTATTACCTGCTAAATTTTTGATTGGAAGCAAATATACAGTGAGCAAAATAATACAAAAAATACTGTTTTTATTATGAGGCGAATTATGAGGAAACACCCTGCATCTACTTTGTCAAAATCAGTGTTAACTAAAAACGACTTTAGATTTTGAATAACGTTTGATAGAAGAAGACAATCTTTGAAATTAGGTAGAGGGCCTTTCTTAGCCAATTGAAATAGGACTAAATTTTGCATCTGATTATCCAGAAATATATAGGCTATCGCATTTGAAAAAACAAAGTTTTGCACTTTTGAATTTGATGAGGGAGTTAATGATGACTTCTGGTACGAGCGGAACCTGTGACTTTGGAAATACTTCGAAACGAAAGAGTACCTTGAATAGCCCTTTTTTTATTCACGAATATTTCTGAAGAACCGGTACCGTCAGAAAGCCTCTACGCATAAATACGATGGTCAATAGTGTCCCCGTTTGAAAAGGTTATCTTCGAGATGGCTGTGAGAATTCCTATTTTTGGAATCGGTTTTAAATGAATCCGAACAAATCTAGTTGAGTAATTTGTTTTTGATATGAACTAGTCACCTTTGCTTATTTGTTTAGTCCTTGTTTGCTTTGAAATTTTTTCGGTGGCGCCCAATTGTTCTTTCTCCGATTACGTTGTTTACCATCACTAAACTATTAAATGGCGCTTTAATGTGCGACTTATTACCAAATGATTACATTATCAATAAATCAAGTCGATGATGGAAAAATGTTGTTAAAAATAAATCTAATTCTAGCGATTGCTGTTTGGGTATTGACATACTTTTTTTTGAGACCTGGTGTTGCGAAACTGATCGTCTTATCTCAACTCAGGGTATTCTTGACCCGAATATGGGAAGTACAGAGTGAATTAAATACTTGGGGTTGATCCAAACAAGCAAACCGGTTCTCAAAGTAAGGGGCTTACGGCGGTTTATCTGCAACCCATCACCTGCAAAAACCTGTCTCGCTCCAAACCCACTTTGCTAAAGTTTTTGAAGATTGCTTTAATAAAAAGCTTGCGGCTTATCTTGAACATAATAAAGACCAAGTTGTATTTCATATTCATGAAGCACCTAATTATAAATCGGAACTTTTGGGACTTTTCTTTGATATGAGTACCGCTTTTGACATGGTGGATACGTCACTATGTTCATGAAACCAAAGAATATCGGAGAATTTGATATTTACTGGCGACAAACTAATTCAAAACTATAGCTTACGATAATTTTAATTGTTGGTACTAAGAAATTTCTTCAAGATTTTATTATATCATTGTTACTATTGCTAGGATGCATATTTATTATTTTCGCATTAAGCACAATCATAAATCTAAACAATAATTTTATTCTCTAATTTATAAAAAAAACTACATTTTTAGACGGCAGACTAATAGGAAACGCTACAGTAGGCTTATTATAAGATTGAATATCGTTACCATAGAGATTTACTGGGTTGTTAACTTCCATTCCTAGCAATAATTTAATGTTAATCTTCCTTAGAATTTCTCCCGATACGAATAATATGAGTTTGCAAAGAAGTTATAATGAAAATGAAAGACAAATGATTAATAACCTTCATAGGAAAGATAATGCCTATCAAAAAATTGCAGAAATGACTAATAACAACTAGAACTGTGCCTAGGAAGCAACATCCCAGAAAAAAGAGTTTCGAAACACACTTATACACAATAAAATATTTATCAGTACTTTGGAAATTTCAGCACGACAATAGAGTATTCTCTTTGGAGGGTCACTGCCTGGTTAAGAGATATAGCCCTTACCTTAACCCAATAGAAAATCTGGCGATATTCGTTAAAAGAAAGTTAGGTTCAAGAACTTTCCAAAATTTCGACCAACTATTCGAGGGTATGAGAGAAACTTGGACTACATTCCACTAGAGGCTTGCAGATGCCTAATATAGTTCATGCCTAGGAGGTGTTTGAACGTAATTGAAGGCCAACTAAATACAAATTGTAAATACTAAATATGTACTACATATTAGATTGAGACAAAACCTTATGGGTTGTTAGAAAATACTGACTCAAAATACATTTCCATTTAGTTTGCCGTTTAAAAATATAGCATTTCTAAATACATTAGTCAACAAAATTATTTTTTAAACTTATGATTTGTTGTGATTTCATGTGCTTAATGTGCTTAATGTGTGAGTTTCTTAGCACCAACAATTAAAATTATCGCAAGCTATCATTTTCAATTAGTTTACCGTTACGCAAAATTTCTCAATAGAGCGTCGGAAACGCACTGTGAAAATGGTAGACGAAAACTGATAACGAAAAGAACTTTGCGATTAGGAACGTGGAATATTCTATGGATAGCGACAAAAGCATTTATTTAAAGAAATTGAACGATCTGATATGGAGAACAGTATATAAAAGAAGGAAAAGGAGCATAGGGAAAAGATATTTATAGCGGAGTAGCATCCCTAGACAGAATTAGACAGAAATGCATAAAATCTTGGGACCAAATTAATCACACACCTTTGCAAGAGAATACTGGTATTAAAATCAGTACCTTTAGCCGCTGAGTACAGCTTACTATATGTGCCTTGGAAATGTTAGGAATTCGGAAAGAGATGTTTATAATTAGCGATTGTAATAGAACTAGTAATAGAACCCTACGGAGGAGATACCGAAAATGACAATGAAGAAAAGCTTATCAACTTTTGTGAATTGCGGACATTTAAAAATGCAAATGAATGGATACAACGTACTAGGAACTTGAAATCTATATTAGATTGTAATTGTTAGGAAAAAATGCAAATTTCAGATGTAAGAGTCATCGTCACCAAAGAGAACAGATTTTATTCGATTAGAAAAATGTGCGACACAGTATTGGTAAGTTTTCTACCTGTCTTTCATTTGGGATTCCGTCATCCTTGAAGCAATTATAGCTCCCCCTACCATTCGACCATTCCCGGCAGGTGTTTAAGGCGTATGCAGAGTAATCATCGCATCAATTTCAGAGAGCGGTCAGCCAGCAACATGTATAGCTGTTATCTCTTTAATAAGTGGCCCCAAAGACAATGAGTACTCCTGAAGAATTAATTGTAATTTAGAGGACCTCAAAGTTAAAGTTCATCTACTCTGATGTGGGCCTTTATTCAAGGAATTTGTAACGGACGCCGACAGTGCTTATTCGAGCGGACCCACGTGCGTTGTTAAGCAAAATATTTGGTAGTTTTTATTTCGGTCTGCTTCCTATGCAAACGTTTTACGAAAAAAAAAAAAGTGGCACCGCGCCGCTGCGCATTTGTGATCGCGAAAACATGTTTACAGGCTTAAAAATATCCTTCGCCATTCGTATGTTATTAAACCCTGCTATCTCGGTTCGTTATACGGGATGTATAGTACAGAACCTTTGCCAACAGTGGGAAATCCAGCCAGGCCCATTAAAAATGTACAGGCTGGTGTCTGGTTTGTAGAACTGACTGCGATAAACCGGGGCGTGGACAAACAGTTGGGACCAAAATCTATCTCATAAAGATGTCGAGTAATAAAACCTTATTTGGTATGCAAACGTACTACAGAGTGACCTAACGAATACTTAAACCGCTTTTATTGTTTGGCATTGCAAAATTGTCTTTTTGTTGAGTTCAGGTGGTACCACCCGTATTTGGGTCGATTTATCGCTTTTGCCCATTGATATCAAATCACCAACATGGAAAATAGTATACCAAAGGCGTTCCGATAGGAAATTTCTAAAAGAAAAGAATTGCTAATTGATTTTTTTGTTCTTAATTCAAAAGCAGCTTTGCCATTTACCTTTATCTAATTACTTATTATTGAATTATTTCAGTTGTCTCTATAGTAAATGCAAAAAGAAGAGGTCCCCACAATTTCCAATTTAATGAATTTCGGTGATACATAGGTTTTCCCTGCAATTCCAAATACCGACGGGTTCATCCCAAAAAAGAACAAAACCGATCGGAGGGGAATGCTTTGAAAATGAATTCCGAGTGAATGAAAATACGGATCGCGCATAACGTTGCCAGTTGGACGAAAACCTCCCGCGATCCAAGGTGCGACATTCGGCAAAATCTATTTTTGTGTTTGGATCATATTTTGCATTTTTTTCGGTGTGGTGACGTCGCGTCGAGCAGTTAGTGGTTTAAGTGACCATGGGCATGATAACGAGGGTACGTGGCCGGCTGAGGAGTTTGCACACGTTACCTAAATTAGATGAGAAAGTGAGAGACGAGAAAATAGCAGAAACAGGTGAGCAAAAGCTTACTAGCATTGTAGGATTGTAAGAAATCAATTGTTTTTAGTAGAATTTGTTTGTACTAATCATTGACGTATTTAATTTGTCACTGCTTCCTACAAGCGCTGATCAAAAAATTCATGTTAAGCTTTGAAAAATATATAATTTTAAAATGCAGTTTTAAGCTTTAGAAATATCTGAATTGTCAGCGTGGGCGATATTTTACTTTTCCAATTTCCACATTTCCAAATTTCAATAATTCAATTCATTTCTGTAAAAAGATACATTCAGCAGCAAAAAAAAGCAACACTGAAATATTAAATAAAATTTGAGAAATCACAACTTTCTTATTTTTAGGTGGATTTTCATAATTTTTTTAGAAAACTTTAGTTATTCATTATTTAGTCGATTTGATAAATGTTGACTTTTAGTCATTTTACAAAGTTAATTGAACGGTTGAGATCAGGGGAACATACTGGTCAGTTCATTTTGTTGATTCTAACTTTTACCAAGTCCAAGTCAGTGCGAATCTCTCGAGTAATTCCTCCTTACACCATTTGTGATCCGCCTACATGACTCAAGCGGGGACTAAACGTGCACTCTGCAAATCTTCCATGCCGTTCTTCATGCACTCTTCCGTCTATCTGTACAATGTAAGCAAAATATGGATTCGTCTAAAAAAAACATTCTGCCTTTGCTGTAAGTGTCAATTTAAATGTTCAGTGGCAAACTTCAGCGTAGTTCCTCGGTGACGCCGAAGCAGTTTTGGTCCAGTTTTTGGTCTGCAAGCTTCCACAGTCGGTCCTACGTATATCTGGCAATGTTCCAAAAACGTTCGACTACTCTTTTGTTCGTCGTTTGTTAGTTTGACGTCTCAACGGACAATAAAAATATAAGACAAAACGGAATAATCATCGAGGGGTGAGAAGATAAATCCCCGTCTTACTCCAAGTTGAATTTCAATTGCTTAACTGTTTTCGCCTTCTATCCATATGTTCGCTGTTCGGCCCCAGTAGAGGTTTATAATTTCCGCTCGGCTAATTCTATCCATGTCGTGTGAAATGCCTTCTGATAATTGACGAATCATACCAGTCGCAATTCACGTCCCGATATCCGTGAAATAGTACCTGAACACAAAAAAGCGCTTCTCTAAGTTCTACAACATTTGTATATCTGCTGGTGTATAACCTTGAGGATGAGTCATTCTATTTTATTAGGCAATAATCTGAACAATGTTAAGGCCTGAGTGTATGTTTCAATAAGGTTTATGAAACCTGAACAGTAAGGTTTTTGTATTAATTTGGATTATGTTAAAATGTATCCCAATTTTTATTTCTCAGATACAAAAGAAGTACTTAAAATACTTTAAGCAAAATCTGCAAACTACCATAGACCAGATTTTATATCCCAATTATATAAAAAACTTCCCATATTATATTATATTATATATATTATATATATTTTTTTGTAATATTGGTGATTGGTTCTCCCGATATTGTACTTAATAATTCTAAACTAATTTGTTATTACTATTAAAATTGCAAAATTTTACAATATCTAACAAAGAATATTCCATAAAATTAAGCTTAGTTTGTAGTTAAGACCAAAACGTATCCATTTTCAACAAATGAGAAAAATATGAAAATAACAGGTCTTTCAATTATAAATCGCCTTTCCGTTTTTGAGTGTAATTACTGAGGTATTTTAAAAATGGGCGAAATTTAACCAATAAAACCAAAATAAAAGTTCTTTAATTTTATACAAACAGGGTAGTTCTGATATTTTTGCAATTTTGTTAATAGTAGATATTCTACGTAAACAAAACATTGCAATAATTATATGAATCAAATACATTGACTATCAAATTGTTATGTTATTAGTTACAATATCAAACAGTTGCAAAATAATGAACCGTTTTTCCGTGCCACAGTCCCTTTTCCTCTTGACACCTTTTACAGACTCAACTTGCCAAGATTCACAACCACTTATATTGGAAATTATTCACGTTTCGTCTAAAAATACCAATATATTTTTTCAAAAATTGACTAACTTTAATCTTTAATGATTCAAGTCCAATATCCAAAAAACTCTGTAGAGATCTTTTGTGGACACCAGATACAGTTTCCTCTCTTCCCTTCCCAAGATTCTTCAGTTCTCTAGGCGCAAGCCCGAGTATACATACTAAAACTCTTTACTTTTTAGCCTATTCTCGGTCTCGGTATCACCTAGTGAATATCACTTCGAGGGCTTTCATATCACCGTCCTATCTGTTTGTTATTGCAGGTTCTGTTTTTGACTTCTTATTGGCCTTGTTTTTCTGTCCTAGTCCTTAAAGTCACCAAAACTTATCCCCCCTGCTATTGCTGCTATTTCCTGGATATATTACATTAGTTATTAATATCAGTAAACCGCAAATCTGGTCACGTCACCGATGAATAGTTCTATAGTCCAACGATAAACGTAGGTGAATCTGGCCGATTTCTAAACTTGCGTGGGTATCGAATAAAAACGATTAGAGCTGGCAAAAACGTTTCACTTTTCAAAAAATATTTTCGCGTCGTCAAACAACAACAGGATGTTTATGTTGCGGGAAAATGTTGTTTTGGCAACTCGTGCATCGGGACACGCACCCAGATCCCTGTATATATCGTTCTATTCTTTGCTAATTGACAAAGCGATAAGTCTACATTCAGGTGCAAAAAAATTGCATGGAGAATTTAAACTTTCATATTTAAAGTGCTTCTTACTTATCACTGCTGCTAGTAACTCCTCTCATAAAACGACCACTAGTATTTAACGATGGTTTTTGAATTCCTCGACTTAAAAAAAGTAGACAATATATACTTTTTGACCCATGTAACGGCCCTTCCGAAAAACAACCGAGGGCACCCACCTCAAACAACATATAAGCAGGCACAGAGTAGAATGTGAGACAGTTTTAGTTAAGCTATGAACAAGCCAACAGCTTGTTTGGTGACAGTCGGCGCCCGACGCAGGAAAATAATATCAAACGTGTTGCATATTATACTTTCTCTACGACCGTTAATTTTTGAGTATATTTTTGCAAGAAGGGAGTAGAAAAAGAAAATTTAAACTTGATTATTAAAAATTATTTTTTTTTTAATTTCTGGAACAATATATCCAGATTTTCGAAAATCTTCAGAAGTTTACTGAAAGTCTTACCTAAAAAGAAACTCCCTAGCCTTAATGCAACATTTTTTCCAAAAATCTGAAAAACACCTTATTCAGAATTTAAATAATTTAATTATCACCTCAAATTCTGGAATATATATTTAACTGATTCCATTATGCTTTCCAAAAAATCCTTGTACTGCAATTACTTATATATTTTCATCTCGCGAGAATCAAGTACAAATCTAAACATTGTGTTCTTTTACAATATAAAATAATAGACCGCAATAGGCCATCATTATTTCGGCTAGGCCAACTCTAATAATTTCATCATTAATATCAATTTGCGTGTCTTGGAGACAACGCGGCAATAAAGCAGCTTTATGGCGCGAAATTCGTTAATAATAAATATGGCGCCCAATCATATCCGCAGACTACTTGTTAAGAGTTTTTATAAAAGCTTTGTTATTACCTCAACTCTATGTGTAAAGAGGTTATTTTATATAGTTTATCTAAGTTTTATACTTGGTTGATTTGATTTTCTGACACACATTTGATAATTGTTTTGGGTAAATCTACGCTTTCGTTTCCCTCTCCTCCATTTACTTATCAAAATTTACTTAATAAAAACACATTTCGTTCTTTTACCTAGCCGATGTCTTATACTGTAATCGATCCTACGATTATGTTTTGAATTGTATTTAATATATAATACCCCATGATATAATATGTTCCAATTCCTAAATAAAAATAAAATATACCAAAATAAAAACAAGTTGATATAAAAATTTGCATATTTAGTTTAGATAACCATTAAATTGTTCATTAATGTTGCAATGTTTTTTTTAATGATTGGAGGGGATTGAATTCTACTACCCTTATCATTCTTAACTAAATTTAAGGAAAAACTTATGCATGTTTTTCAGAACACGGGAATAAACAAGGTATTATTCTTATTATTCAGTTAGTTTAAGTAATTAAAAAAATAATCAAAAATTTGTTATCTATTTATTTAATTGTTCAATAATAAGATGCAGAAACAGACGTGCAAATGAAAATTCCCTGGAAGCTTGTCATCTTGTTTACGAGACTTCATCAAAGTTTTGATATTGGCCGACACCGAATTGCTGTGATAAATATTATTTTAAGGGCAACTGGACACAAGTGCCAGGAAGATTGCAGCAAATATTGATACAACTGTATGGAGGAAATTAAGAGCACAGTTATATCCATACCACGTACAGAGGGTTCAAGTTCGTTTACCAAGAGATTTCGAACCGAGGATGATTTTTTCTCAAGGCAAACTATAAAATTTGTATTTTTGTTTTGCCTTAGGTGGCTTGCTTATTTGTTACATTTTTGTTACATTGTATAAATAAAATGTTTTTAAAGGTAGTTATTTATTTATAGCTTACGCCTGAATAGTTTCAGGAACGTTTATTAATAAATTATTTTTAAAATGTAATCGTTTAGAAGATAATTGATACATGTTAATACAAAATACAACTATTTGATTGCACCAATTTAAATTATTTTTGTAAAATATAGTTTCTTTCTACATTGCTTTTTTTTTCATTTGAAACTAAGTTTCCAATAAAACCGTATATCAACATCTATTTTTTCCATGTTATTAGGTAAGTTTTTCCTTAAATTTAATTAAGATAGAAGTAGGCTAATTCAATCCCCTTTACCAATTTAAAAAAAATAAAAAAAAAATGCAGAAAGTTTGTTTTACAGTTCGGTGATATTTCATTCTTCTTTCTATCTGTTTTACGTTTATATGAGAAACTGCTCTTTTTATTTTAAATTAGGAATCACCCCCTTAAATTTTTCGTTTTTGTTTGGTATATCGATTAGGTAAAAATAAAATTTTAATTTTAATAGGTAATAGATTGATTTTAAATCGGAGACTGTTGCATGTTGAGGTGTTAGGATAAGACATCAGTGTTAAATTTTTGCTTTCAGTGTGTCTGTTGTCGGTGTTGCTCCTACTTCCCTATTGCTCAAGAGGACATGCTCCGCTGCTGCTAAGTTTGGGAGGCTGGTGTCTAACAACATATTCATTTCTGGTACTTCCGCTGTTAATATCAGCAAATTACAAATATCCCGTACGTTGGTTGAGAAATATATCATCAAAATTGCCGGGTAAGCTTTTTTTAATTGTCTCTGGCCTTGCATTTAGTTTAAGATTTATATAATTTTAATTGCTTAGTACGAAAAATTCTATCTACTGAAGAGAGACAGAGTTTTTGATTTGCTCTATATTCCTTTTATGCATCGAAGTGAAAAATTTTGTTATTCGGGCAAAAATGAACTGTTAATAGCAAAAACCCGTTTCATTTTTATTGCGTCGTCCACTTATTTAAAAATTAAGATTAATGTGCTTCGTGCAATGAAACTATTTTCTATTATACAGGGTATAACATAGATATTTTACATCACCTAACTTTCTTCTTTTAAATGGAACACCTTGTATATGCTTTTAATTTTGGATTTTTGAGAAAATGTTATGTCAGATTTCCCTATACTTAATTTCAATAGATTCTTAGATATCTTCTAGATTAGATAGATTAGATAGATTAGATATCTCTAATTGTTGTCGTTTTGTATTGTTTTCAGTGTAACAAGTTTTTTACGTCTTTCATTACTTAAGTCCGACAATCATTTTTTCTGTTTTGATTTCATGTGCTAATTAAACTGCAATTTTTTTATAACACAATTATCTTTTAATGTCATATGAAAATAATGTAACGTAAAAATAAATAATCTAATCTCTCATCAAATTTTTGGGATAAATCAGTTGCCTCTTATGCTTCCATGCAAAGCGTGAGCCTTCATCAACAGTTAAAAATGGGCGTGGGTTGAACATTTAAAAGTTAGGTTTTTGAGGTGAAAATCCAAAAACCTCAAATCAGGTGATCTAAGTGGTCGGTTCTCGAGTCTAACAACTCCTTCATTCAAACAAATAACTTTTGTATTTAAATTTAAAATTTAATTATAAAAGGATCCCGCAAATAGTGAGATTTCCTGTATTAGACCTTTAAATTATAATTAATATAATATTTTAATTAAATATAATAATATTTTTACTATACTACAGTGATTGTGCTAAAGAAAACTGAAATAAATACTTAACAATTATAATTACCTTTATTGAAACGTTAATATCCTTGTCATAGCAATTAAAAATGAATTAATCGGTAACGGTTTTTTGTTTTTATTGAAACGCGAAACAAAATATGTGGCTCTAAAAATATTCTGGTGTGTTTTCGAAATGCTTTTATATAAAAATTGTTTTTGCTAACTAACCAAAACTATTATTTATTATGTCACTAAAGTTCTTTTTAAGGTAGTGAACATGGTGCCAATGATTGGATAATAGTAATTGTGAATTGAGTAACAATTTGTACCAAATACCTACAATATGAAACTAGAATTTTTTAAGAAGGTAGCTTTATCTGTTTCCACAGAATTTATCACTTAAATATACAGAAAAAATATATATACAAAAACTTAAAAAGTAGTAACTTACAATAATTTTTTCTCGTAGAACCAAATGCCTGGTAAACCTTTGCTGTTGGCAGTGGTCGCAATCAGGGCTTCATTGAGGACAGTTTCATAGAAATCGTCGGTTTTATACAACACAGCCACCCTCGATGTGTCTTAAATTAATTACACTTTGCAAAAATGACGTCTGATCTTCAACGTCCACTAATCCATTTTTCTGCCCTTCATTATCATATTGATTGATATTGCTAAAAATATGGGACAAATACGTTCGTTGAAAGATCTTAATATTCATCCGTTTTTTTTATAAATTGAGGTCATACTTGATGACGGCCATGTATATTTGTACCAATTTCGACCTTAATGAAATTCTTCGTTTAGGTTCTTAAAGTAAATGTTTCAGATTACTGTTGATTTTATGAAAACCAATACAATAAGTAATAAAAATTCGTAAGTACATACATATTCGCATATATATATTTCATGTATATTCTGTGTCTGCATTTTTCAAATATTTTACATTCTGTGTTAAACATAAAAATTACACAATAACATCTCAATCAAAGGGAAGCCCTTTATTTTCAAAATCGTGCATTACTAACAAAAGATTATTGTAAAATTAAGGTGTATTGTCGGTAATTTCACCTATTTTAGTAGATTTTTAAAATTGTTATTTTTTGCCGTTCAGAACTGGTATCGAAAACTGATCACTAAACTATTAACCCATAATTGCTAACCTCGGTGGGAAATCAGTCTGCAACGAATTCAAATCATTATAAGCTGTGCGTTCCGCTTTTCAATTTTTCAATTAGATAACAAATATCAAACAAACAAAAAGATATCACCTAGGATTAGGATTCATGTCTTCTTTGGGTAATACATTTCTTTTTCACAGCTATTATTTTTTTCAAGTCGCTTATTTGGCCACAATGCACAGTATTTTTTTATTGCATTAAAGTTATCTTAAATTTTCTGTTCCATGTTATATTATTATCGGAGAACTTGTGATAACTAAACAGTAATGTATATAAACTGTATTTCTAGGATTTAAAATAATTATGACATGTTTATACTACTTTTATTATTGTTTTTTGAATGAATATTATTATACATCTTATGTTTTACAATTTAGCGTTTATTGTTATTGTGCAACGGTTATTTTAAAGCCAATAAAATATTATATAACCTAAAGATCCAAGAATAATAATAATACACTTCTTATTTGCTTTTCAATTTTCTTTTTTTTAGAATTTTCTTCAGCGTTTCGTTGGTATGTGCGCATTTTAAATTTTCTATAAAAATTTACATTCTTGCTAAATGATTGTTTATCCAAAAGTTATTAATTTCTTGCAAAATAATCGGTAACAAAACCAAAAATTTAGCTCATACCTAATTGACAACGCTTGCTACTACAACCTCAGGTTTTTCGTCAAATGCATTGCATTCATCTCTGATTACACTTGATCATTTAAAATTTTTCGTGAATCTTCTTTAATTATGGGTTTGAAAGCCCTACAATTAATTTTTATACAATTGTCTCTTATTCAGCTTTTGATAGTCTCTTGGTCCTTGGTTCATTCGTGTGCCCTACATGAGTTTCGCTAAGCTTTACAGTAACAAAGGCTTAAAAAAATTCAATAGAGTATAATAATAACATTGCCTATTGAAAAAATACCCTCGGCTGAAGTGGTAACTATAACTTCTTTATTCTCCTGGGCTTTCCAAACTAAAATCTCTTCAAAGTTGGAAATATACAAAATACATTTCTTTATAGTTAAGTCATGATACGTATTTAAGTGTTTAATTAAATCTGTGTGACATCTAAAAGAAGTGCTATTTCTGCATATTAGGCAGATTATATACCGAATTCTTTTGGATCCTTCAGATATACAAACCATATCTTGCTTTGAGTTTTGTATTTTTATAAGTCGATTAGTTAGTTATCTCGCCAAAGTGATAGCCAATATTGATAGAGGGAGAAGAAGAAGATTAAAGGCTATTCGTTAATTTATTCTTTCACAGTGGCGCTGCTAACAGCAAACAACCTGGTCATTTAAAAGTATTTTATGACGTTTACTCTCACCAGCGATAATACAGCATTAATCGTGCCTCAGTATGTGGTTTGTTGAAAATTGAGCAAGAACGATCAAAACGTATTTAAATTGATTGTCATGTGGAAGGCGTAGCCTTATAAAATGCAAAACATATTATGTTAATTGGGTCTACCCAAGAGGCCGATAACTCAAAGAACATTTTGTATTTTGCCTTGGAACAAGCAAAATTATGGAATTAAGGGCCAATTTACACGTGATCACATTTGCTTAAACCATATACAAATGGACCATGATCAAGACGTTCGTATCGTTTTTTCCTACTTTAAAATTTAAAAAGTGTTTATTGTGATACGATATTTTAAGTACAAAGTGCAGAACTTATAAATATTATCGGTAAATCTTAGTATACTATTCAACAAAACACCCAATTTTTTTGCGTATTGTAACTTTGCACACAAGAGAGAATGATCCACAGAATCAAATGCTTCGGAAAAGTCAAGCAGGCTGCGATAATCTGAATAATGTGATCTATGACATCCAACATAACTGAAGCTGGAACATGTCCTGGACCAAATCCAGATTAAAAAATGATGATTTAAAGATGTGTAAGAATTAACTTAAGATATTAAGAAGACGATTGATGTCGTGCGGGATGCTGGAAAAAAATGAATCTCGATCTATCAGTTTTTAGTTTAAAGCTGAGATTTTTTTTGTTAATTTTGGTTATTTGTAGAGGTGTTCAAATATTTTCTTTAAAAAATTATTCATATCTCCAAAAAGGCTTAACGCATTTTAAGAGAATTGGAGACGTTGAAAGGGACTTTTCGTAGGCCATCAATCGTGCTATGAGTGATGCAATTGCCACTAGATAGATTTTTGGAGTTTTTTGAGAACTGCATCTTAATATCTTTATCCAAACCTAAAATATAAATAAGACAACTTAAAGCTAAAAAAAAATAGAATTTTTGGAATAATTCCTACTTTAAGGGTCTAATTATCTCGAATATTTAATATCAAAACTTTATTACTTTTTTATAATACCTTCAAAGGGCACCAAATTACTCTGTAACTTAAATTTTTACGATTTGACATGTTTTGCTGTTTTCAAATGCTTAGTATTATTACTTATTTTTTCATTATAAATTATGTTTAATCAGTCACTTGGTCACTAATTTTTTGTTGGGGACTAACTAATTTTATTAGCTATTGAGGTATTTAAATAGCTAAAAGTGGAAAACCATTTAAAAAATGAATAAAACATCTTTTCGACAGAAATAGTTCATCAGACATTAAAACAAATTTTGTATTGATCTGATCAAACGTTTCGCATCTTTCATATCGTTATCAGATGCTTGTCAAAGTCTCTTGATTGCCTACTGGTTTATTTAGTTTAAATGTTGTTAAATATTTATTGCATTAAAATAAATATTTAAACTTATTGTAATCCAATGCCTAGAAGAAACGTGCTAGGAACGAAAAAAATACTGATATGTCAATACATATTTTAATATTTCAACAATTGACTAGTTAGAATATTTGATAAGGCTAAGATTGTGAAAACGTAGTAATATGAGCTACTGGGTAACTTGCTATTGTACTGTTAAAAAAATAAAGATAAATAATAACATTTTATATTGATTTTAAACATCATCTTGAGCCCTAAGATATTGAGATGCGGTTTTTTTTGAGGTGTTGTTAATTGTTTCTTGCGATTACATCGCAAAACTGCACCTGGTGGTAAGTTAAGGAATCATAGTCACTCATAGCACGATTAATTTAAAAAAAAATTCTAACACGGCCAACATTTTCCTTAAGTTAAAGCAAACAACATTAAACAAAAAAGATTTGAATTTTTTTCACTATAACTATGGTTCACATGAGAAATGTTTGTAGAAACCGTGTTTTAAAATACAAGATAATAATTTCCTCCTCTCCCCATCCTACTTTGTCTTTGCTGATTTACTTATTTATTTTGTTCGTACCTCGTTGCCCTGCATATTGCTTTTAAACAACAAAGTACCTATGTCATATCAGATCATAACTTCTAGTTAGTCTTCTCCTTAGTCAAACCCTCCGAAATTTTCGGTTCATTGGATATTTTTTCTTAATTAGGATTCCTTATTAATCCCGTGTAACTTGGATTTGTTCACTTAAAAACATCGTGTTCCCAATAGCGATAACCATATTGTTACAGTTGCTTATCGGCTTCATACATACATATTCAGTACATATTTCCCTAGTTGTTAGGGTAATTGTGTTTTACATGGGTTTTTAAATGACAATTGTTCGGGCAGCAGCGCAGTACAAACCCGCGATGAAACACGGAAATAAAAAAGGTGCGGTTTTATTTATAACAAACAGAACACAACATAATCATCCAGTCCCGATTCCGTGCTTCTAAAAATAGAAGCTGTAATCAGTTGCGCTGTCGTTATTTATAAAACGACTACAATTAATTTTTCAAATGCACAACGAGTTCAATAATAACAATAACAACGTCGTGTGTTTATCCGTCTACAAAGTAGCCTGTTTATCTGGACGAGACTGTCACGCTGTTTTGAAGGTGATCGATTCGATCTGTTCGTGGATCATGACCCAGCATCCAGCAATCCACGACCCACGAAATAATTCGATAATGTAATAAGCCTAATACCTCTTAGCTATCGAAACGACTACATAACTGGGACTTCTGTTTTGAGAAAAGCCTCGATTTATGATAATAAAATAAAACACGGAAAATTTTCACGATTTAATTATCATATCTAAATTAAACTCTTAATTTCTCACATTCGTATCGGGTCACTGGGAATAGTCGCATCCATTGTCCGACCGCCGAAATTCGATATTATACCCTTAAACATACAATAAAGCACATAGGCACATAAAATTTTAAATGTTACAGGATATTTCTGGAAACCTAAAAATACTAACCTTTGTAAGATAATAAAAATAAAAACAAATAATGATAGTTTGTATTATAAACCAAAACCAAAAACACTTCCGATTGGAGTAAAATGGCGCCAAAGTTTGAATTATTTTGGTTAAATGCTAAGGACAATGTAGCTAGCTCATATGCGTGAAAAAATTTATGTAAATTGCTGTACAGGGAATTGTTTTCGTTGCAATATATACAAAAATTAATTCATGGGTTTTTTGTTTTAAATCTCTACCGGTTCGGTATGTTTATGTTTATTATGCCAAATGCTCTCTGTGGCTGAATGAAATTACCTCAAAAATTACTGTGTAAGATTATGCGTCCTGCGTGGTCCAAATGTTTGCTGTAAAAGCGTTTTAAAATGTGATAATACATAGAGTCGAGATCTAGTTGCGTTGATACCGTCCCATTGAGTTCATCTTAAGAGAAAAACAAATTAAATATTTCAAAATCCACTGCGTATTATATATATGGAGACAAACACGGCGTGTGGAAATTTCGAATTCTAGCGATTTTATCCGAATTTGGCGCAATACTTTATGATAGACAATGAAACATGATTAGGAGCAAGCGGATGTTTTCGGAGATATTAACGCACGGGTTGAATTTTGACGTTTGTCAATCCCGAGAGTCATGTCAGTGAATGCATTCGTGTTGTTTCGCGAAAATGTATCCAAAAACTAAATGAAAATGTGTGTACAAAAAAAAAATTATTTTTCTGATCTTCCACTTGTTTATACGAACACGAACTTATCTCTATATTTTCAAATTATCAACTCATTTTTTTTCTTTCTAGGCGCTTTTTTGGTTGTGTGTGAACTGCTTTACCACGACATTGTATTGGATTTTCTTAACAAGTCAAGACAAGTCGATTGCTTTGGTAACTTCAGAATTAGACAATAGCGAGAAGTTTAGTTTCTTGAAGATCAGGAATAAAAATGAACTTGGCTTGAAAAACAACCTCTTTTTTTAACTCAATTTTAGACGAAATTCGGGGCTATAATTTGACAAATGTGTGACGGGATGTTTATTTATTATTTTCGTCACTACGCCTAAAGAGGCCGCAAAGTCTAGTGATTTTTAGAAATTATGAGAAAAAAAAACTTCTTATATAGTTTCCGGTGAAGAGACCCTTTTAAACTCATTTTCCTGTTGTTACAGGAATTATGAGAAAATACTCCAAACCAGCGTGGAAATTCTGCTGCAAACTTTACAAACCCGTCGACAAGTGTGAGAACTTGTTCACGCGTATGAAGAATATTTGCACTTTGGCGACCCAAGTAAGTTTGTTCATTCTAAAGCATTTTAACGACCTTGGATGGTGACAAATTGACAAAAATGTAACTAACCAAAATATTGCCAAATTTATAATTTATTCAAAATGGTTTTGTCAGCCGTGCACAACTGTCGCAAATAATCGCTAATACACGGAGATCAACTCATTTCAGTAATAAATGTTTTGCTGTTCTTCTTATTACATCTTATCCCTATCGGAGCTTTCAAATACGATTCATGACAATACATTTTCGTTTATCTTTTACCTAGAATCACATTCAAAAATTTTAAAAGCTACCATCAAACACAAGTGAAACCATCAAACTCTTTTTAACTACCAAACACTCTAGTAAATGTATTATCACACCAACTTAATGAGACTCAAAGAATCAGTTCTTGCGAAAGGTTCCAACTTCGTCCTTGCTCCACGTATTATTCCAAAACAAATAAAGTGATATCTCAAACAGCTAATGAAAATTAATTTGAAACTGCAAAAATTCTTTAGAAATTCATAATTGCAAAACCTAAACTAACCTAACTAAAATATATAAAATCTAATTCCTACATATAAAAAAGCACCATTTGATCGAAAAAACATCGGTTATCAAATTTCTTGTTTACAGAGTCGTACAACTATCTCAATCCGAATCACTGAATCTAGAATTAAAACACCTAACATCTGCTCTTGTCTCTAATAATTTCCACATTAGAGATATTAAGCGTTCCATTACAAAATTCACTTCACTATAACCTCCCAAAGAAAATGAGTCCTAAAGCAACCCCATATTTGCCACTGTGGTCTCTCCTTACATTCAAAACATTACTGATCACATATCAAAAGTCCTTAAGAAATGTAATGTTAAAACCAAATTTACCACTTGGCCAAAAATCTATCATCTTAGATCCGTCAAAGACAAAATTCCGTTTAAGACAACAGTATCTAGTTTACAGCATTCATATTCGGTAAAAAGTACATTAGAGAGACAGGACGAAAAATATTAACTAGGCTAAAAGAACATGAAAGGGCCTAAAGACAAACCTTATTTGAGTAAACTAAAATTCTTGTATGCATTCTGCCCCACTCAAATAGTATATAAGGAGATACAAAGTAGAACAAAAAAATCATCTCTGAAGAAGCTAACACCAAAACTAACGTAGTAAATAGTTGTCATAGTTTAATATAAGCATCATAATTTTTCTTCGATGCGATAGATGTTCAACGGCTGACCAAAATCAATTGCGGATCGCAACGTTGCCTTTGTGTTTAACCTTCAAGCTCTACAGTCTGCGGAAGTCTTTATAAAATTATTTATTTTTATTTAATATTGCAGATTACTTGCTCTGTTCAAGAATTCTTTTAATTATTTCACTTCTTTTCCAGTTAGTATTCTTCATTATGTGCGACCGGGTCTTGCTCTGCAGTTTCGGCGGTGGCAATTGCCCCCAAAAGAAAGTAACCGGCCTTTATTCCCTGATGTTCTACAACGTCATTGCGTACTGTGTAAGTTACATCAAAGAGCTCGTAGAAAAAGAAGACTGGTCAGTCACCGTCAACATGACTCAGCACAGCAATATCAAACATGTCGCGATGTCCGCCACCAAGATCGTTCTAGAGTGGACCAAAGCGGTCACTTTCATAATTACTGTTACCTTTATGCTTCTGGTATTTGGCCTGGAGCAAGGCTTGGAGCATTACCAACCGACCGCTCTATACACCTTCGTCACGTGGACGTATTACATGTGCACTGAGAAGGTATTTGTGGATCTATTCCTTCCATTCCTGATGGCCCTCAAAATCAAGTCCCTTGAAGCGCTGGAACCGTTCTACGCCCCAGTATTTTTGAGATGTTACACCATCACCTTGGCGATGACATTGGTTACGTTGCTAATGTTGTACGGCCAACTGCGATTCACGATGATATCATTCTATCTGACGGTTTATCTCAGAGCGAAAGATATGGTTTTCAACGGGCTGAAGGCTTTACGGAAAGAGCAAGCCATCTTAGGACAGTTCCGTGAGGCGACGACGGAAGAGATTGTGTACTGTGATGATGTTTGCGCAGTTTGTTTGGGCACGATGGAGAGGGCAAGAGTCACTCCGTGTCAACACATGTTTCACGCCTCATGCCTCAGGCAGTGCCTGAACAATTCTAACAATTGTCCCATATGCAAACGAGAATACGTTTTCGTGCACTAACGCAGATAAATTGCCGCCACAACATTTGTTTTTACATAGCGGATGAGGGACTTTTTTTAAGCGCCTCCGTGTATAGTTTGTAGTAGATCTTGTTCAGCGTTGACCATCATATTTAGAACATTGTTTACTTGCTCTTGGCTGATATTGCGTTAGTTTCGGTTAGTTGTGTAGATATTTGAAATCTTGAGGTAAATGCCCGTAACCATTGCTGTTGTATGTGATCTAAAAGATCCCTTTCGCATGATTGAATACTAAACTTTCAAAATGTATGCAAAACGGTGGGTGCAAAGCTTTGCGTGTTGTGGCCTTATTTAAAATCCCATTTTATACGCTAATGTTAAGAAAACTTTTTATATGCAAATCATATATGATACATAAGTTGGCTGGACGTGTACTTAGTATATTTTTTTTATTTTTGTCAGAACTACATATTTAATATATCTACGTCAGCATAAGTTTAGTTTCATTTTTATCCTAACTATTTACTATTTACCTTATAAATGACCAGATAACCAAAAATGTGTGTTCCTTTCTATTGCACATTTTGTCTTATAACCACAAAATATGTTGGTTAAACAATTTTTGGTAGCCTTAATGTTTGGAGAAGGAAGAAACAATAACCAATGTGAGGCGTGTCCCATTTTTGATGGTTTTTTTAATACTAAAACATTTTAGTATGTCAGAGTTTGACGTTGATGGATAAATAGATTAAAAAGATGACGATTACGTTAGCAATAGCAAGACTATTCTTACGGCATTTGCTGGGGTCATCATTATGACGTAGTCGTTGTCTTTCCTCATAGTCATTATAAATAGATAGTTTCCTTTTTCACCTCAACCTTGAAATGCTTGAGTTGTTCTTGAATACAGTAAAAACCCTCAACTAACATGAACATTGCATGCATGCTTATGCATTGTAGGTGCCATAAGTACTTTCTTGCAAAAAATTTTAATTGCCTAGAAAAAAAAGAATATAGAAATATTTTGTCTTAATATATCCAAACTTGCTCACCAAATCAACACACCAAAACCAATAAAAGTCCAAACTGTCAGAATTAATAATATATTAATGGATATAGTAATATAACACTGGTTTTAATTGTTCAATAATATTCTATAATTCAATATATTCAATAATATATATATATATATATATATATATATATATATATATATATATATATATATATATATATATATATATATATATATAGTATAGTATATAACCCGTGTGTTGGGTTTCTAGTGTTTTGCCCATTTTGTTAATTCTAATATCATGACTTGTCATTCTATCTCTGAAGCTCACTGCCCTAATAGTTTTTAGCGTTTTCATTTCAGTCCTCCTCATCATTCTTTTTGTTGTTGAGGTTTCTGCTGTCGATTCCGTTGCGTGAGAATTGGATATATGCACATTTTGTATTTTCTTATCTTGCTTTTACTTTTATCGTTTGAATTGGTATTTCCTCTATTAAATCTCTCTTACTTAATACTGTTACTTCAGGGTAATTAAATTTGATTGTTGTATTATGGTATTATGTTGTTGTCGACAGCTAGTTTACATTTAATCGAATCTTTAACTATGACCATTGATTAGTCTTCTTAGTTGAAATGCTCAGTTTATGCTTATCTTCCCTTGTCTTCTTTCTGTACAGAGTGAGTCAACATGAGTCAAGTTCATTGTCTGAGTAGTTTGAAAAGTTATAAAAAAATGGTAAGTACAGAAGTTGTAAATATATTAGGACGCACAATTTAAATTGATTTGGTGCTTCATAAAAGCGTGACGAATAAGACAAACTCTTTTTTAAATAAAACATCCTATTTTTAAATTTTGTTTTGAATAAGTTTTGAACGTCTTCAACTTTTTTATTAATAATAATAATACATACCTAAACCTAACACTTTTCCCAATATTTTAATTATTCTAAATAAAACTAGTTTTTCCCCCTTGAAAACCAACACGATAGCACCATTATTGTTGATATTAGTGTTATTCAAATATAAAGAATATATAAATTCATCCAACGGAATTTGAATTAGATGGTAGAGGCTGTGCAAAATAAACGAACATATTTGGATCATTTTAGATTAAAAAATTTCTATTTTTTTAAATGGCTTAGCATATACTATAATTTACCATATATTATTTTATTTTTTTTGAAAATTCTTACAAAAACTCTATTGATTTTTCCAAATAGTTACTAGAGATATGGAGGCCTATACCGATAATAGAGGAACTTAGAAAGCAACTATGAAAACGCGAGATTTTAAATCTCGTTTTTAACCAATCACCTTGTAGCATTCAACAACCAATGTGGCCGCTGACAGATCTTCAATAAGTTTGGATGCGGCATCTTTACGGCAATATTTTCTCAAAATATGCATAGTTCTTGTTTGTCAATGTAATGTCAATGTGGAAAATCAATCTTTTCTTTAGTCGGGCTACGATAATATCTAATAGCTATATAGATTTTTCCATTAGTTGTCGTATTATGATTATTACGTCCACCATAGGATCTATTCTGTCTGAACCCCTGTTGTTTTCCGTCGTTGGAATTTTATTTCCAAGTTTTATCGCTATAATTTTGAAAAGTTTTAATTCTTAACTCTAACTTAACAAAGTTATGTTTCCAAAATTGTCGTGATCCATTTTTCCTCCCTTTTATGTATAAGTACATATATTACGCCGGATATTATAATCTTCTGCATTAAGGTGATGAGTCCCTTCTTTAGTTTCTCTCCTCCATACTTCATTAGCTCATTGTTTATATTTTTCCAATTTTGTTACTATTGCTGTGACTTCCTCTAGTGTTATTTCCGGTTCGTTATTATTATCATTTATTAGGATCTTTATCGGTGTATCGTTACATGTGTTTTTAAACTACCTGATTCGTTCTTCTTCAGTAATACAGTACTTGCACTTTTTCCTTAATATTGTTATTTTCCAATTTTTCAAAGAAACTTTTACAGGCTACTGTAATACTTTTTACAAAAGGTCTGGATTCCTCCGGCGTCGGTTTTTGCGAGCCAGTTTGAATCAAGCTCTGAAGAAGCCAAGAGGATAATTGGCGAAACGTCAGCAAGTTCGACTCAGCAAAAACCGACGCAGGAGGAATCGAGAAGTTTTGTAAAAAGTATTGTTCTTTTCTGTTACCTACCAAGTTCCACACTTTCTTTTGACCACTGTATAGGTCCGTCTCCATTTCTGCTGAAAATTATTCCCGGTAGTCCAGTAGCTATCGTACATGGTTGTGCTATGTGCGTCTGATTTCTAAAAGTGTTGTATCTTTCATAACAAAAGGGATTCTAAATGTAAAAAAATTCCTCTCAAACCGAAAGTGCAACCAAATTTCAAATGACTGGATCAAACCGCTTAAACGTTATAAAGTATATTCGCTGTCTTGTGTCACTCTTTACATCTTGTAATTATATGAAGGTAAGCAGTGACAATTTCTATTTCTATTTGACTGTTTGACTTCATCGCTATTTCCCGTTGGTCACGGTTTTCATCAAAAGATGGACACGAAAACCAAACGATGTCTTCTTCTTTTATTTAGACTGCCGCCGGTTTGACGTAGGATTTTTTATTTTTAGCCCCAAATTGTGTTGAAGTGTGCGATGCAATTCTTTTCGGAATCTACGTCAAAAAACATAAAAAAGTTTGGATAACTGCCATTGCCGTGTTACGACACTGTGCTTTTAACTAGACTCTTGATTGTGTGCTTAAAACGCTACGTTCTATTCCGATCTTAAAATAATAACGATGGCGATTGAACCGAAATCTGCTTCTGTTGTTGCGGTACTTATAAAGAAAACTTTTTGCACCCTACTGTAGCCTAGTTCGGAAAGGAGTTGAATAATAAAACCTCATCAGGTATGAAAAAGGACTACGGAGTGACCGAAAACAATCATGAGATTTGTTCCTTGTTATTCCCTACACTCCAGTTTTTATATTTTTAGTTTAGCTTCCATAGGCTACTGCAATTATGGATTCCTCCTGTTTCGCTTGTTGATAAAGCGAACTTGCTGAAGTTTCGGTAATCATCCTAATCGCCTCTTCAGAGCCTAACTTCTAATGGTTTACATTCTGTTTGTTTGAGAGGGCGGAGTTAAAGGAGGGATGTGATGACCGATTCTCACATTGGCGAAAGGTAAAGCCTAAGTCGCGGTTGGTTGTTTAGAGATTTCTATGGATTCTCGGATTTAATTAATTAATTGGATGTAATAACTTTAATTTGGTCGAATAATATTTAATGTCCGGTTTCATTAGTGTATTCGGCAACTGCTGATTAGTTTATTTATTGTAGTCTTGGGACTCTTTCATGTTCTTTTAGCCTAGTTAATATTTTTCGTCCTGTCTCTACAATGTATTCTTTGCCGCAAATGCATTGAATGCTGTAAACTCCTAGTGTCTCAAACAAGAAATATTAAGCGTTCCATCACAAAATACATTTTACCACAACCTCCAAAAGAAATGAGTCCGAAAACCCAAGTCTGGGGTACTACCTTACATTCAAAATTCAAAGCATCAATGACCACATGACCACATGTTGAAATCACACAAAAAAAAGAACTTGGTATCGACATCTGTTTAAATTATGATCGACCTATGCGAACATTTTTCTTGAAATTCAATAACTGATTTTTAGGTGAATTTGTTAGAAATTTTAGCAGTTCACTGTATAAGATAACTTTTATTCTGGATTCGATATAAAATATAATCTATTCACCATCGTCAGATAAAATCGTCACGAGTCATATTTAGTTAGTTACCGTTTAAAAAAAATCCCTTGCCTGAAAATAATTTTTAAAAATAAAAATTAACATTAACTGAAAATTTTGGCTCAGGAGAAACCAATTTCATTATGGTGGTGTCTCAAAATGACATTGGCAGCACGCAATGTCAATGTAATCGTTTTGAAAAATGTTAACATGAAAATTTTAGTCCTCTAATGACTTCCGCTCGCGAAAACGGAGACTCAACCGAATCATTTTTGTACGACATGAGTAAGAGCAGATTTCGCTTCTATTCAATTATTTCCATAAGTATTGCGTACAACAGAAGGATGATGAGATATACGTTCTAGGCGATAATTGGTTCTCTACGTTCTTCGAATTTATTCTGTTGCTCAGATCAGAATTGATGGAAGAAATACATAACCTAGAACAAATCTTCATTAAGCTGAACAACATTTATGGGTTCATTTGTCAGGTGAGAGTGAGGATAAATTATATTTTCATTGTATATGGTATGTATCTATTTTAACGCTGTACCATGACACTTTCGACATGATTATATTCTATACAAAGATCATTTTTGAATTTATGACAAATCATGTTAGGTTTATTAAGGTGCCGATATATTTTATCCCAATAGTTTCTTAAATATTCAGATTCATTTAAAAATTTAAAGACCCATAGGAACAATGTTCCTGTTAACCATTTACACATCTTCCGGATTCCTCCTGCGTCGGTTGTTGATAAACTAAATTTGCTAACGCTTCGCCAATCATTATGTTGGCTTCTTCAGAAAGAATCCATCATAGCTGTAAATAAATAGAGAAAATCAATAAGACTCTTCTGTTTCTACGAACTGAAATTGCTTCCATCGTGTCCTCATGCGAGTTCGATATCCTTTTAAATATCCTTCATGTCAAAGCACAATATCTACGTAAAATTTGAAAAACTACCCTAAACTCAAGTGAAACCATCAAACTTTTCTCGACTAAGAAACATTGTTGTAAATGTATGATCATCCCAAGTTTATTAGATTGAAAAATTAGTTCTTGCAAAAGGTCCAACCTTCGAAGAAATTATTTCAAATGTCGCGTCTATCCTAAGTAAAATGCCATCCCAAACAGCTAATAAAATTCGATTTAAAACTGCAACAATCCTTTAAAAAATCCAAAGCTTGTAAATCTAATATTAAAGTAATTTTAAAAGCAGATAAAGGAAATACTGTGGTAATTATGAACATAATTAACTAGCAAAAAAAGAATCAAGATATTCTTACAAACCGTTAACTTAAAAAAGATCCTACGTTATCTGCTATTAGATATCTTCTCTATTAGAATCCGTGAAAAAACCTATAATCCATGACGACTCTAAAATTCTGCGTTGTACGGACTCCCTAACGTCTCGTATTGATAAAAGAAGTCTAAAAGTTAACTCAGAAAAAAGTTACTGCAAAAGTTAACCAAAACTAAGGTTTATTCGAATTTAGAAACAAAATTGTTTTTTTTTGTCTTGAGGTTAAACCGCCACCACACCTTTTTCAGAAACTGCATAAACACTACTTCAGCCTCTATACATATGTTACAGATTTGCTTTTTTATTCTCTGTGATTTGGCTTTGGATCACCAACATCAGCTAGAAAGAAAAACCGAGCGAAATATAATAACGGCTCTAACCACAGTGCTGTTCTACTCAGTGATCGGCTACTTTGCGACGAAGATAAGAGATGTCTGCCAACGCAGCAGGTCCAGACTGGTATCGGGACCACTCTCCATAATGAACAGTCTGAAGTGGCTCTGCAAAATAATCCTAGAATGGGCTAAAGCGGCGGTGGTGGTGCTCTGCCTTAAAGAGCAAGGAATTCGCTTCGAACCTAAAATCCTGTACACCGTAATTACGTTCACGTACTACTTGTGTACGGAAAAAATATTCCTGGAAATAATCCCTTCTGTGGTGGAAATGTGCGAAGTTGAAAAATTCGAAAATTTGGAACACCTCTACGTGCCTCTGCTAATGAACTTTGTAGTCATCGTTTTGGGCGCTATGGTCGAAATCTACAGTTTTTTCACAAATTATTCCAATTTTCTATTGCTGAGTGCGTACTTTATGGTATACCTGAGGATCAAGGATGCCTATTATAATTATTGGGAGTGCATAATGGCGGAAAGGGAAACGTTCGCCAGTTTTCAAATGGCAACCAGGGCAGATATCGAGGAGTGGGACGATATTTGCGCTGTTTGCCTCAACAGCATGTCCAGGGCAAAGATAACCCCGTGCCGTCATTTGTTTCATCCTTACTGTTTAAAGCAGTGCCTGAAAACTTCGTTCGATTGTCCGCTGTGCAAACGTAACTTTCTGGAGAGTAGGACAATGCTTAAATAAAATGGGAGGAAAAAGTATTCTGTGCTATCTCTCAAATCCAATTGTTGTTAATCTTTTGCAATTTGTAATAGTTGGAATTGCTCAACCATTCTACATAATTTATAATTCATTAAAGTATGAAGTTTTCCCAGAACAACTAGGACAAATGTGCCCGTAATGGGCCCCTTAAAGAAATTTTATTACATTTTTTTTAGTGTTGTGGTTAGCAATTTTTTTAAATGAAGATTTATATATAATACCGAGTTAGTCCTAACATAAAAGTTATTTGGTGCCTATTGATTTTCTGTTCGATAATATAGGTTTTTGAGTTTTTTAGTTCGGTAGGTCAGCGTGAATATAATATTCCATAGTTCCATCGAAATATAATGTCCACAGAAAGAATGGAAATTTGATCCGATTGGCGAAACACATGGAGGAGATAGATCTTTTTGTGAGAAATGATCTTGAATCTGCTTAGTTTGATCAACATTTTCCGAACATTGTTTTCTAATTTGGAAATATAATTTAATTATAGCGATATTGTACATACGGCCTTCCGAACCTATGGACTACTATGTAGCACTTTTAGAAGCAGTTCACTTTAATGCTCGGGAATCTAATAACCATAGCAAAAATGATCAAAAAAGTTACTATCCATTACATGCTAGATTTTAAACAACATAATTAAGTACTAACTGGCATGAAAATCCTTCTTAATTTCTTTTTCTTTTTAGTCTCCTATAATAACTGTTCATCATCCTGCATTAGTTAGTTATTCGCATTCCTCGAGTAAAAGAGCCTCAATTCACAACTAATAGATTTAAAAAAGGGTACAATTTTACAAAGGCGAATTACGTTACATTATATGCTGAACCATCAAATCAAATCCACAATGTTGATGAAGCATTGCAGAAGTTTAGTGAGAAACTGTATGAGGTTTTTGTTTGAAATGTTCAAAAATTACACCACTAAATATTCTAAGTGGTTCACGATCGAGTTGATAAAAAATATAAAATAGAAAGCAAAAATTCACAAAAATAGAAAAACCCGGTATAACGACTTACCTTATCGAGTTTTAAAGATTGAGATGTAAGTGAAAATCTCAGCACAAAACCGCTCATGAAGCATATCTTTGAAGAATTCAGTAGAGTGTCTCTAATGATCCTCGTGCGTTTTGGTCATACATATGTCTCTGATACTCTGGTACCATGGTTTACAACAACAATGCTCTTCACTAAGTGTTTCCTAATTCTTTTAAGAGTGCATTTCTTTAACCTGGACTTAGTCGCACTGTTTACAATAATGTAGATTTGAACACGAGTACTATTAATTTCTATTCAATTACCGAAAATGAAATAGTAAGAAAATTAAGGAATAAAATGACCTCAGGGACTCATTGAATTCCATCTTTTTTGGTTAAATATTCTATTCTATTATCTAAATGTTTACGCATGATATTTATTTTAGTGCTTTCTTCTAGAATTTATCCCCGATATCGGAAGGAATTCAAAGTTTCTCGTATTTTTAAAAGTCGTGAAAAAACACGTAAGTAATTATAGATCAATCACAATCTTATGCAATTTTGTAGTACAGTTTACAAAGTGTGCAACACAAGGACTAGATAATCAAGGACAGGTAGATGACGAATAGACAGATTTCAGGAAGGCAATTGACAAAATTAGTCAGCCGGTTTACTTCATAATTGGATTTGCTGATTGTGCAGTAATGTTTCTCATAAATCACTCGAGGTCAGGACTGTGCTGCAATGGATGTAAATCTAATATTTACGTCACAACATCGGGAGGGCAACCTTTGTTTCTAATTTTTATTAATGATGTTATTTCAGTTCTCAGCAATACTCAAACCCTGCGTCCGACTTAAAAATGTATTTCGCTGGCGTATCTCAAACAATTTACACCTTACTTTCAGTCGAAAAGATGAAATTCTTGATTTTCCATATCGAATTTCAAATATAATTCTCGATCGTCTTACCAGGCTTTGAGAACTCTTTATTTTTGCTTTGTTCGACCTAAACATGAGTACGCGTCGCTTGTTTGGAATTCAATCTATTCTTGTCAAACTTGGGTAGATGCTGGTGTACAGAACAAATTTTTGGAAATACCTAATGTTCAAAGCTGATGAGCATATCTGAAACTGAAATTGAGAAACATATGTTTGATGTCTGGTCGACGTTAGCTTTATACAAGTTCAATGTCGATTGCCAACTGTCTTAATCGTGTACAATGGATGATGGAATTTAGTTCATTTGTTACTAAATATTATTTTTGTTTTAATAAGTAATATAAAGCCATTATCATAATTATTATTATTAATATTTCTACTATTTTTAATAAAAATTGACTCGTGAACCATTAAAAGCACATGCAAAGTAATTTATTTTAAATGGTTTATTAAACAAAATTATTTTTACTATAAAAATTTAAAAGAAAATGATAAAAGGAACTAACTAACTTCAGCACATTCCTTGAGGCACCAAGATTGACAGATCCGACAACGGATCCACTCTTCTCTTTTTTACAAGCCGGATTTGCACAATCTAAATAAAACCAATACTAGTAGGTTATCCTATGTGTGACAGTAATAGTAAGAGACATGGTTCTGCAAAGGATTAAATAGAGGAGGAAAGGGAAAAATCTAGTTATTCAAGTTCATTATTGGATGTCGTATTTGTTTGTCAGTTTTAAAATCCGCATCATTTTTGATTACGTCACTTTACTCACTCCGATACATTTCTTAACTTTATTTACATCCGGTTATGCACTTTCGTAAATTTATTGCAGGTTCAAAATGGTTTTGAATCATCCCTGTATTAACAAATTGAAAATACGATATCACTAGGTTATTTATTACCTAGTTTCCTCTTTTTGTGCGACATTTTGTGATACGCTTCATGCGGATACCGAGTGATGCATTGCCGAACGGAACATAGAAAACACCATGTAAATTTTTAGGGGGCCAAATATTTTATATCAAAGTTGTAAGATAAATAAATTTTAATAATCCAATTTTCACTTATTGAATTAAATATGATGGCAAAATTAATTTTTTTTATAGTTTATTCAATAAATCAAACACTAGTAAAATACATTTTGACAATGACAACACGAAAATTCCTGACAGTAACAATATTTTCATTTGTGATTGTTATACATTATTAAAAGCACTTTAATTAAAGCTAAATATGCGTTATGAAGAAAATGTAACCATAATTAAGTGGTATTTTGCAGGAAACAGTCTTAGAGTAGTGTCTGAAATATTTTCAATTTTTTTTCCTGCCAAAACTATACCTTCGATTTCAACAATTAAATGTATTATTACCCAATTCGAGTCCAAAGGCATAAATAACTACAAATTTTCAGGTGAAAATGTCAGTCATAAAAGAGAAGGAAGGAACAATAGAGATTTGAACATTTTACTGCATGTGGAGAAAACAATGATTCTTACGAAGATTCTTGGACAAGCTGTAAATAGCTATCAAACCACAGTGTATATTTTTCCTACAAATACGAAAAGTACCAAGAGCTTTGGGAAGGCGATGAAGAAATAAGAGTATTATTTGTTTTGGAATGATGGATAGGACACTTTTTAAAAATATTTGTTTCACTGATAAATGTACATTCAGACTCAATAACGAACCAAATGGTCAAAACTGTCGGTATTGGAGCCAAGCCAATGAAGATCGTTTTGTTCATACTCGAAGAGAATATCCTCAAAAAATAAATGTTATGGTGGAAATTTGCGGACATCATATTATTACAAAATCAAGCTTACTCGCTCTTGAAGAAGTTGTTTGCGAAGATTTGCAGATCTGGTTCCAGATGGAAGATTGTCCCGTCCATAATTCCCTTATGGTTAGGGAGTATTTGGTAATTACTTTTAACGGGAATCTTATTAGCCCAAGGCGCCGAATCCTTTGGTCACCAAGTCACCTGACCTCCCGCCGAACAACTTTTTTCTGTGGGGTCACTTGAAAAGTGTTATCTATAAAAATTTCACAATATCGACTAAGCAATGTATAGCTTATGATATTGTTTAACTGTTAAAGGAGGGTTGTTTGAACATTTACTTAAAAAATGTTTATTTTTATTTTAAGTAGTGTTTCTTTTTTGCAATGCTGTGTACCCGTATTTTTGTTATAATTATTAATTATTTAATAAAAGACTTGACGGTCAAATTTATAGTCGTTCCTTGAACCTTCCTCAATTCTTAAACCGATCTTTAAAGGAAATTCATTCCAAGAACGCTTTAAGGGAAAACTGAGTATGAGTTTGATCCTATGAAAAACATAATGATATACCTAAATTACTTAGTTTATTCTGAATGTGTGAAACCAAATGTACATGTCCTTATTGTAAACCAACCTTTATTTCATATGTCATTATCCAGCTTGACGTCGTGAAATTTTGTAAATAGCGTTGTGGAAAATATTCTTTGTTGTATTGACCTTTCCAAATTTAGCCATCATATTTAATTAAATAACTAAAAATTGGCTTATAAAAATTTATTCATACTTGACACATAAGTTAATTCAATCGGCCTCTTCAAAAAGTTATGATATAACTTTGCGATAAAATGTACAGGGGAGCCAATATTTGGGTACCAAAAAATTTACATTGGATTACCTATGTTCTGTTCCGGAATGCATGATCCGGTATAATTGGATTAGGGGATACGCGAGCCCAAAATTTTGTTGAAATATTTTAAGTAACCTAGATGTAGATTTTAGATTGGACTTACCACCGCCATTTCGATAAGGCACTATCTATTTCTCTCTATAATAATTAACTTTTGCAATTTTCAGTATTTGCTTCCTTCTAGGATTTTTTTGACCATCAGAAACCATTTTATCGCATTTATTTCTGGGTCAAAAACGACTAGAATCCGCATGTTATCAATTAATTCTTCCTTGGAGGAAATCGAACGTGGACGCCAGTAAGTGACTAGCAGACTAACTTGAGTACCTCTCTCCGGCTCCAGTAGAACAGCAAAAACGGTAGTTATACAACGGACGCTTCCTGTATAGATTGACTGATCAAGATTTAAAAGGAACCTAAGCTTGTACTTATAATTTGTGAGTGACCTCTTGAATAGCAAATTAAATTGTGTAACACATTTAATTTTAATGTGAGTTCTGGACGCTCAGAACATCAACACGTTGGTATTGTACATTTATTAACTTGACAACCGCCAAGATTTCTTTTCTTTCACATATGCTTTATCGCTAATGCGTTCACCTACCACTATTAATTGTTCCAAGTTGAA